GGGGGGGCGCACCATGGCCGGGCATCCCTCGGGGCGGGCTCTCCCCCCTCACCTGGAAGCAGATGCTGGCGTCGGAGAGCCGGTGCCTGTCCAAGGCCAGTGTCTTCCGCCGCAGGGCCAGGAGCCGGCGCTCGGGGCTGAGCTGGTGGCCGAGCAGGGCCGCCACCTGCGCCCGCTCGATGGACCCCAGCAGGATCATGGACTCTGCCGGCGGCAGTGAGGGGCCGCGTTGGGTCCCGACCTCCCCTTTGCCACCCCCGCCCCACCATCCCCACGGCCGGGGCGAGCGCCGGCACAGCTCCCTGCCCGTGTCTCACCTGCCGACTCCACCAGTGGCAGGTTCTTCATCTTGGTGCCCTGCAGGACCTGCTGTAGGTCCCGGTACTTGCAGTTGAGGGTGACGTAGCGGATGTCCCGCACCATGATGTCCTCCACTCGCACGTTGTACTTCCTGCCCGGGGTGGGTCACGGTGGCCTCAGGGTGATGCCACCCCTTGTGCCTGGGTGAGGGGCTTGGGGGACGGGGCGGGTGACACACACTCACTCGTGGTGGCCCCAGCCCAGCTCGGGGAGGTAGGGCAGCTTCTTGATGCGGATGATGCTGTCGTAGAGGGAGGGCTGGAGGCTCTGGGCCACGGCGTTGGCCAGGATGACAGCGATCATGACGGGCAGGATGTGCGAGATCTGCCCTGTCAGCTCGAAGACGATGACGGCCGTGGATACGGTGTGGGTGACGGCGCCCGACAGTGCGGCAGCCCCTGCGAGACACAAGGGTGTCCCACAGCCCCTGCCTGCTGGGCTGTATCCACACCCCTGGGACACCCACCACCATCTGAGCCCCTGGGACCTCCTGTGTCACCCCCAGCCCCTGGGGACACCACCTCAGCCCTGGGGAACCCACCGGCTCTTTGGAGCATCTCCGAGCGGTGCCCACCAGGGTGTCCCAGTGCTTACCCACCACGGCGTAGCCCCCCGGCACGATGCGGTAGATGTTGCTGTCGGTGTGGATGCCGTCGGGGAACCAGGCTGCCATGCTCTCCCCAACCAGCCGCCCGAAGGCCGCCCCTGCCCACAGAGAGGGGCTGGGAGTGGGCATGGGGGCCTCTCCCGGCACCCGACCCGGCCTCGCGCCATCTCCTCCCCAGGAAGGGGACACCCAGGGCCACCCACAGGTGGGCTGGCAGGTGGCTCCCTCCTCACACCATGCCCGGGCTCTCACCGATGACGAACACGGGCATGAAGGCTCCACAGGGCACTGGAATGGTGGTGGCCAGGGCCGACATCCAGAACTACACAAGGGACACAGGCACCCCTTAGTGGCCCCCCAAAGCCCAGCCCCTGCTGTGCCCCATGGCCAGCTGCCGGGGAGCAGCACGTGAGGACGGCACCGTGCCATGGGGCAGCCCCGCTCCTCCCAGAGACACCACGCCAGCACCTCCCCGCTGGCACCTGGGGCCACCCAGCCAGCACCTCCCTGGTGGCACCCAGCCAGCACCTCCCCGGTAACACCTTGGGGGCACCACGTCAAGACCTCCTCAGTGGCATCTTGGGGCACTCAGCCAGGACCTCCTGCTGACACCTTGGTGGCTCTGAGCCAAGTTCTCTTTGATGGCATGTTGGTGGCACCCAACTGTGGGAGCAGCCACCCAGTGCCTCCTGGTGCCACCATGCTGGCAACGACCTGGCACCTCTCTAGTGGCATCCAGGAGCCCCTCCCCAGTGGCACTCCAGGGCTGGCAGAGGCAGGAGGAGCCTACCTTCATGAGGATGAAGACGACAAGGGTGACAAAGACGTTGGAGCGGGGGTGGCGCCAGGCCTCCAGGATGCCCAAGTACTCAAACTCATCACTGAGCCCCTGCTTGGCCCACGTCTGGTTGTCGAACAGAGTCACCAGGGTGTCCTTCTGGGTGAGCTGGTGAGGGGCAAGGATCAGATGGGACTGGTGGTGGCCCCAGGGAGTGGGGACCAACGTCCAAACCCCACAGAGGCTACCTGGCCTGCCATGAACTGTCCGAAGCCGGGCGGGAAGGTCAGCGTGGAGATGAGCAGTGTCACCAGGGCAGGGAAGAGCAGGCGCCTGGTGGGGGGGCACGGGGCAGGGGGGTGATGCCGGTGCAACACTGGCTCCACCGCCCTGGTGGCAGGGACCCCCCCCAAACACCTACTTTTTCATGAGGAAGCGGTTGATGGTCTTCTGCCGGCGCATGAACTGCACGATCTTGCGGTTGAGGTAGACAAAGAGCGCACCCCCGAAGCCGCTGGCGATCCTGGGCAGAGGCGAGGGGTGAGCACCCACATGTCCTGTTGCCACCGCCATCACCAACACCATCACCACAGCCATCACCATCATCACCAGCAGCATCACCACCACCATCCTCATCACCACCATCACCACCAAGACCATCAGCACCTCCATCACCACCATCACCAGTAGCACCATCACCACCATCATCATCAACATCACGACCATGACTGCCATCACCACCACCATCATCATTGTCATCACCACCATGACCACCATTGCCACTACTGGGGCCATGGGATGGGGGCCCCGGTGGCCACACTCACCCGATGACGGCGAAGGCGGGCAGCTCCTGCAGGTCAAAGGGGAAGTCGAGGCGGAAGCGGGTCTTGAACAGTGCCGTGATTGTCTCTGGGGAGGTGACAGCGGTGAGCGGGGCCGTGCGGGGGGACCCCCATGTCCCCCACCCCACCGGAGGTACCTTCATCCTTGTTCCAGACGGCGAGGACGCGGAAGATGAAGGCACTGAAGGTGGCGGCGAAGAAACCGCGCCAGTAGTTGCGGACAGCAAAGAAGGTGGAGGTGACCTCGATGCTGAAGAGGACGCCTGGCACCGGGAGAGAGGGACACGAGGGAGGCAGCGAAACCCAGGCAGGCCCCTGCTGCCCGGCACAATCCCCCCCAACCCCAACCCCACACTGGGGGTCCAGCCAGCACCATGCTGACACTTTTTGGGGGGGGCAAGGGCTGGTCCCCGTTTGGTGGCAGCAGCGGGCACGGTGGGGGCAGGAGTCACTGCGAGCAAGAGGGTAGCACAGGGACATGAGCAAGAGACACGGCGGGTGACACTGGGGTGGGGTGGTGGGACACACACACAGAGGGACAGACAGACGGACAGATGGGCGGACGGAGCAGGCAGGGAGCAAGGGAAGAGTTAGAGACATCACCAACCTACGGGCAGGGCTCAGCGGGGCCAGGAGCTCCCTGGAGCGCGGGGAGAGGAGGAGAGCAGAGGTTACCCCTCCAGAGGACGGTGCCCGCTCCTCCCTTCCTCCTCCTCATCCTCCTCGCTCAGCGGCACTGCCCTCTCCCACGCCAGCCATC